TTTTGCCACCTGCAGTGTCCCTTGCCCCGGGGGTCATGATTTGAACAAACTTGAATCTACACTACCTGAGGATGATTCCACATGAGTTTCATCTTTCTGGCCCAGCGGTTCTGGAGAAGAACATTTTTAAAAATGCCATTAATTTTTCTCAAATTAGGTAACTTTATCTTCCCCTTGAAAAGGGCGTGGCCCTTCATTTGAACAAACTTGAATCCCCTTTACTCAAGGATACTTTGTAGCAAGTTTGGTTGAAATTGGCCCAGTGGTTCTTGAGAAGAAGATGAAAATGTAAAAAGTTTACGACAACGAGAGACAACGGACAAATTTTGATCAGAAAAGCTCACTTGAGCCTTCGGCTCAGGTGAGCTAAAAACTTCTGCAGTTCAAGTATACATGTTATCTGTACTTTCTGAAAGACGTTCTGTCTGAGGTCAGTCGAATGAGTGTTGTATTCCAAGGAGATATTAACAGGTCGGAGAGAATACTCGAAATCGGGTATTATCCGTAAAATCGCGTATAATACTTGATATTAGGGTATCGTTGAATCCCCGAAATCGGGTATTCCGTACAACTTTCTATAAAAACAAAAGAATAAAGCAACGGCGCATTATGCCAGTTACTGTTACTTGTACATCAGTATCTTGTGGATTTATTTTTATTAAACCTAATTCATACGGTTGTCAAATAAGTTTAAAATCACACGACAAACACTGCTGGGGTAACAAAGAGGACACAATGGCGTTATTATTTTTCAACATAATTTCTAAAAACAAATAACTATACTTCGTTTGTCTTTATATCCCATTAAAATATTCCATATACTTAATTTTCTAATTTATGCGCTATTCACAAAATGTGAAACTTTAAAGAAATTAAACGACTAACGCCGTGTTCTGTATTTTTAGTGAAAAATGTATGGCGTCCCTTTCACGTGAAATATAAATTATTCCTAACAGTTAGAGAGTACAGTATAAGCGAGTCATAATTATATATCTCTGCCATAATAGAATACCAACGTTATTATAAAGAAGAAAATAAAATAAGATCAAATAAATACCCACGGGAAAACAGGTTGAAAATAGCTAATTGAAGGTGGAGTATCTTTTTTATGTCAATTTAGCCTGGAAATTTTTATTCAAGGACACCGTAAATTTTTTGGTTGCATTTTAATGGATACAAAATATGCTATTTTACCTTTATTTTATGCATTTGCGTGAAAATTGAGAGCGAGAAGTCATATGAACAGGATTTTCTTGTTTTTGTTTTTTTGTTTTTTTTTTTTTTTGGGGGGGGGGGTTATAAATAAAAGTCAAATATGTACATCTTTTCATGAGCTTATAATACATTGAATTTCTCAATATAGATCGAGGTACAGTGTTATTGAAATATGAATTACATAGTCAAGTTTTCACAGTTCTTATAGTTTTTACGTTTATGAACATGTTAATGAACAAACTGAAATAATGGAGTGTTCAATTGCCTTGGAAACTCTTGTCTAACTTTTTGGGAATATGATTCCTCATCGGACATTAAAATTTCATAAAAATTGTAGCCACTTCTTTCTTTATTATACTATTTGATAGACAGGGTAAATTTTACCTCTTTACCTTCTATATTTTTTTAATATCGCTATCTTATACCTCATTATAATATGCTAATACAATCTGATTGGTTCTAGACAATATGTCACAGTTTTTTTTTTAGTTATTTTATCTATGATACTTATTGCTCATAGCAATAACTTTTCCTAATGCTCATCTATAATGAAAAAATGTGTTAAAAAATAAAATTGTAGTCTCATAATGTGTTAGAAAATAACAGGTTGCTTTTTGTTTACCCATATGATTTGATGAATAAATCTTCCCTACAATTAAAAATATAGATAACCGAGTTTAACCGACCGTGACATTCAAAGATAAGTCTCTTGGACACATGTAGAACACAGTCGATGTTGTTTTGTCAGAGGTGGTCAAGAAGCCTTTAGCCCCCCGAAGTCGCCAAGAAATTGTAAAATATTGATGACTTAGCGAAATTAAACGATCAACAGTTATGTTCTCTCATAAGCTGTATTCCTGAATATATCACTGTCTCTGCTAAAATGTTGAAGACATATTCTGCAAATATGTATGAATGATAAAAATAAGATTTCTCAAAAAAAGAGAAAGAGGGGTTTTTTTTAGCCGAAATTTTAGACATTTTTATCATTACATTATTTATACATTCATAAATAAATTTGATTTTATGCACAAGATGAATGTGAAAGTAATTAATGACGCATAATTAGATACGATAGACAATCCCTTGTTCATACATGGCATCATATCTTGTGTGTGAAATGTGTTTCCGTATAATTTTATTTATTTACAAATTGTTCATGTTTGTCGTGTTGATGTGGAATTATTATAAATTCCCGAATTCTGATACTTTACAATTCTGTTGTGTTGGGAATGAACATTAGGAAGATGCATTTACTTTCAACATTATGAAAAATATAAAGCAAATCGAACGCCTTTTTGTGTGCAGATCATGAAATGTACTGAGCTCCACGGGTATTTGTTGTCCTGAGCGCATTAATATTGACGCCCAAATTCTTACTTGGCTAGTGATACCTTTAGAAAACATATGTATCTAGATGAAAGTTAACTCGGCAACATGCGCCATTCCATTGTTTAAGTTTTATTAGGTGATTACATCTCCTATACCCGATTTCACGGATACAATGATACCCTAATATCGGGTATTATACGCGATTTCAAGGACAATACGATGCCCGATTTCGAGTATTCTCTCCGACCTGATTAATGTCTAGTGCCATTACTTGTCTCCAGAGTGCCTCTTCTACTTTGGATGACAATGATTGAAAATCATGGTGCAAAAACTTGCAGTTTCCTAATGATGTTGTGAATTGTGTGTTCAGTAATCAAAATCTGCATAATGTGATGAACATTGATGCATTTTATGGGAGAAAGAAGACAGATATTGAAGAGATTCAGAGATCTTTTGGAAGATCATTTGTTCCAATGTTCACTGATATTTGACCATAAAAACTGGCCACATTTGAACACGGGCAATTGTAAGTATAAACATAAGTCTGAAATACGTAAAAATAATTTCAAATTTGATTTGATGTAAAAAAAAATTGCATTAAATTTATTTTGTTATTGAGATCATAATAAAAAAAATTTAATATTTTAATTTTTATTTTCCAGCCCTAGTCCAGTATGGTGTGACAGAAATTCGACAGATTGTAGCCCATTTCCAGATTCTGCTTCCTAGATTAAATCTTGATAACATTCTACAAGAAAGTGTATATAAACAGAAATGACCATTTTAAAGCCTGCCACCCACTATCCGTTTATCACGGAATCTGGAAGGAGGATGGAAAGTGTCAGCATTTCCCAAATATTAGGAAAGTTATAACCTGGTATCATTATTACCCTGTCCAATGCAACATGTGAGCGAGGATTTTCAACCGTGAAACGCATAAAAAGCGATTGGAAATGCTGTTTGTCAAATGAGACAATCAACACTTTGATTGTTTCATTTGATTGAAATGATTGGTGACAGTCCTGATGGATTGTCCACCTTCAAACCACGAAATGTATAGTAAATAGGTTGTGCATCTCGGAGAACAAATTGATTCCATATAGTCCTCACAAGTGGCATGAATCAGACTCTCTGATTATTATGAATTTAGCTTTATGCTATAATTGCTATGTCAATTTGAAATAATCAACCAGAAGTCTCTGTCCTAACTGTAGCTCTACTGGTTTGTACTTATAACAAAGGAATGAGAAAAGAAGCCATTGCCCTCAGACCAAAACTGTAGAAGGAGTAGCGTTTTAAAGGAATTTCACAGACATTTCTATTTTTAGCAACCATGGCAACACTGTTCATCAAATAAAAAACGATGTACTATTTTATGAATCTTATTGTAGTCTACTTGTGTGCCAAGTAATATTGAAATCAGACTAAAATTGTAGAAGGAGTAGCGTTTCAAAGGAATTTCAAAGAAAATTCTATTTTTAGTAACCATGGCAACACCGTTCATCGAAGTCAAAAACCGATGCACTATTTTATGTATCTAAGTGTAGATTATGTGCCAAGTAATATTAAAATCAGACTTAAAAACTGTAGAAGGAGTAGCGTTTTAAAGGAATTTCACAGAAAATTCTATTTTTAGTAACCATGGCAACACCGTTCATTGAAATCAAAAATCGACGCACTATTTATGTATCTTAGTGTAGTCTACTTGTGTGCGAAGTTATATTGAAATCAGATCAAAACTGTAGAAGGAGTAGCGTTTTAAAGGAATTTCACTGAAAATTTTATTTTTAGTAACCATGGCAACACCGTTCATTGAAATCAAAAACCGATGCATTATTTTATGTATCTTAGTGTAATCTACTTGCGTGCCAAGTTATATCAAAATCAGACCAAAACTGTAGGAGGAGTAGCGTTTTGAAAAATTATTTACAGACAGACAGACAGACGGACGGACGACGGACACCTTACTATCGCATAAGCTCTTCTGGTCTCTGACCAGTAGAGCTAAAAATCATTAAAGAAGATTCTCTGTATATTTACTGCAGAAAATTAGTTTTAATATGAAATTATTCAACGTATTACTATGAGAAAAAAAAGCTAGTTAAAGTTTAATATTGCAAGTAAAAAAAATCCAAGACAAAATTTGCTAGTAGTAAAAATAGTTAACTCCCTTGTGAATGTTGCATCAAAGAGAGATGTTACAGAGGAAAAGTTAGGAAGAAATATATGTAATTTGTAGCATATCCTACACAGAGGCTAGTTCTCGAAATTCTGAAAATATTTGAAAAATTTAAACGGTGTTATTACTAACAAGCTTTTTTCTTAAAATTAAGTATACGTAGCATTTGTATCTTTTAATACTGTAAATTGGAAAAGTCTTAAGTAATCTGTTTTTAGTAAAATTAAAAATAAGCAGAGCTTATAAAAATATTTCATTTGTCAATGAAATATCGCTAGTTCGTCTGAAATACCAATTTTGTCCTTGAGGATAATGTTTTTAATCCACCAATTATGTAAAACCCATGTTGGTTTATATTTTCAGCCAGTTTCAATGAAGTCACTTCTACTGATCCAGTAGCTGACTTAACGTTTTCAATCCATTCCAGATGATTACATGTATCTCTCTAAAAATGGATCAAATAAAATAAAGATTAATATACCTTTTCCGATTTTGTTTTAATTTTCCGTTTTTATAAGTACAAATACTTTCATACAAAGACTGTTTTAACCACACCCAAAAATGATACATGTAGTTACCAGTAAAAATATCCTTTTAAGGTTAAGATGTTTTAAGTACATGAAGTTAAGAATCCTAACATATATAAAATACATGTTCTATAATTTAACATTTCTCCTCATATAACTCATAAAAAAATTACGTCAGAATATTTCCAACCACTTTTATGGATCATATTACATAATATTTGTTAATCAAACAAATTCAAATTCGCTTCAAAAGTAAAATAAGAGAATTCAATTTGTTTTCAGATTTTGTTTACCAGTTTTCTAGGCAGGGCCTTGTCTGTCTCGCATTCCTTCCATACTTGTTTGCATTTTCCAAGAAACAGTTTGGAGTCACATGGTTTTTTCAAGATAAATATCAGTGGAGCATATCCCGCTGTAGCAGACTGAAGACACTTCACCTTTGCTACTTCTATATCTCCCTCACCAGCAGCGATGGTGGCTAGGTCAACAAACACTTTTAATTCGTCCTCTGTAAAAAAAAAAATATATATGATATGTACTTATAAAACCTGAAAAGGTATTATATTTTTTTCGATTTGAAATGTTCTAATTACATTAATTAGATTATTAGAGAGATTTTTTTTAAATGAGATTATTAGTAAAGCACCTTTCAAGTTCTCATTCAACCATTTTATCAATGGTTTGCTTTCAATAAATGCTTGAAGGCACTCAACATTTTCTTCGGTTATACCATGCAAAACTTTACACACTTCCAACTTTGATTTATCTATTGATTTAAGACTATTTTCTCCAATGTGCCCCTGTCAAAGGAGTAAATGTTATTAGATTTAGTACAAGAAAATAAATTTAAAAAAAAAAACAACAATTAAATATCAAGAATGCAATCATTTAAAATTTTAAAAATGTTAAACCATTTCAGTGAGACTTCTTATTGGGGAGAAATCTCCTTTTAAGTCATATTCTTGGACGATCTTCAAAATTAAAATCGCTGCTTTGGAGCACTGTGTCATTAATTTCAAGTCACGATACTGGTTTATTCTTTGATCGATCCATCCAACGTCTTTATCAGACATCATCTTTAAAACTGTCCGTACTTCTTCCGTATTCATACCTTTGAAATATTTTTCAAATGTTTTAAATTTGATATTTCCACTTTTCATTTCATTGCATAGTCTTTTCCATTTTGATTCTGCGTTTTGCCAAACATTTTTGATGATCAATTCGCACGTTTTGTTTGAAAACTCGTCCTTTATTTCTTTGCTTTCCTCATCAGTCAAGATTTGAAGGAAAACTGTGTTTTCTGACAATCTAAATGACAACAACAGTATAATCTTTAAACAAATTCAGATTAAAATCTTTAACACTTTAGTTTCAGTTATATTATGGAAAATGTTATTGAGAACACTTTTGATGTAAATATTATAACTTCAAAAATAAAATGTTTGTGGAAAGCACTAAATTCTTTCAATTTACCTTTGAAAAGTTGGGATGATGTCCAACATGCCTTGGATTGTTTCTTCGCCGACTATAACAGGTATATATTGATCCTGGTGGGACTGACTTCCTGATGGTAGAATGCAAAGTTCGGCGATCCTCTTCTCTTCAATACTCGATATTTTCCGTAAATGCTTCTGCAAGTCTCTAGTGTCAACTATGATTAAAGCAAGTTATAAAGTATATAATGGCAATTTCTAGAAGAAAAAAATGTGATCTAATCTTTATTTACTATAATAGATCAATGCTATAGATCAGCAAAAATACTTAAGAATAAAAAAAAAAATATGGGTATTCCAGCGTTTGAAAAAAATTGTAAGATTTTTATACCTATTTAAATTTTTTTTACTATTAACTAATATGTTTTCAAGATGCATCATTAAGAGTTTCCTTTCAGTGCAAAATACCATAAATCATTAATGATTTTATATCATGCCAACATACATTGGCTTCTGAGGCTAGTTTAACTATTTTATGATAGCATAAAGGTGTATACACTATATATAGTCTGTTTGGAAATTTTCTGTACTTTTAAACTATTTAAAAAGTTTTATTTCATGTATTATGAAATTAGATTTCGTTAAATAATGAATAGTTTTCAAAAAGATTTTTTATAGGTTTCAATTATTAACTTTATGTAAGAACGTTTTTACGATTTCAGAGAAACTTGATTCACATCGACACGCATGACATTGTTGCATCGGAATATATTAAATTCCAAGTTCATTTTGACACATTTTCAATTAAATGCTAGAAAAAGAGTTATTTTCACTCAATCCTATATCCTAAGGGCTTAAGAAGATGTTTCACATATATGTACATGTATGCTATAAGGTATTGATAAGGAATATACAACACAAACTTGCTGATAATCGGCTTAATATTTTTTTAACGATTACAATGTGATTTTTTTTCAATATATGAAGACATCACTACAGACAAAGAAAAGCAATAATCATTTTATACTCTTTTTCATATACAATACAATATTACGTACAATTATATTACTGACCAAAAATCTAAATATTCATAAAGGATTTGATTGAACTTTTAATAACAAATTTGAAAGTTGTCAATCTTTTTCTTGATAAAGAATACCTTGTAAGATTTCTCCTATTTTCACAATAGTCTGCATATCTTTTCTTATTTTTTCGATGCGATCAACTTCTTTTTGCCTCATTTCCAAACACCTGTGTATGTCTTTTGAGTCGGTCGGGGAACCACGGGTGGTAAGTATGCGATTGATACTGATAACCTTTTCACCAGCTTTCAAAACTTCTCGAAAATCTTTTATTCTTATATTTCCATTCAAGAGTTCCTTCAATGTTTCTTGAAAAAGAGTGACTGCTTTTGTAAAATAGGTCTGACAAGTAGAACTCAGTGCTTCAGCCTTTTCGTTGTTATCTACAGAAGATATTTTACTAAGAATTTAATCGCAATAATATTTAGTTCTATATATGCTGATAATATGTATACCTCGAGTTACGTTTTTGTCAACCAAGAGACGCTGCTTTCTTTCTTTAAATCAGTAAAAAATACGTTTTCTTTAGAGTATACATGTAATAATACTTAGCTCTAACTCTATAATGTAAACTTCGTCATTACTTAAAGGTTTCATACATTGATATTGCTTACAATAAATCCTATTTAACTCCTATACATTTTTGAAAAGTAATTTTTGTTTAATGTTTCCACTATCATTTGGTCAAAGAGGATTCGTATACTTTTCAGGCTTTTTTAGATTTGTCATTGTTCAAATGAGTGGCAATATAGACAAAGATAAAAAACGATTATTGCAATTTATACCAACACATTAAATCCCATAACGATGATATAGACACGTTAAACCATTTTACGTGCCATACAAGAGAAATATAAAAGTCGCTCTCCCTGTCATGTCAATCAGATAAATAATATTATGTATTTCACAGTTTATCCGTTCTACAAAGATTGCTTTATCTTTTTAAGATATGCTGATAAAGTCAAAAATATTTTTACGCAGGCTATTTAGTTTTGCAAAATCTTTCAAACTTTGTCCCTGTTTTAATTTGACTGCAAATTATCGAGAAGCATTATTCTAAATGATACCTAATCGGTTCAAAAAGCTCATCGAGTAGAAAAATGTGTCATCAATATTTTGATACTTTTAGCTTGGTCCAAATTATGATTCTAAGTACATTAAATGACATTTCTTTCACCAAACGCTCGGCGTTTGAATGTAATTTTAAAGGGTCCTCATAGATAATTAAAGAAAAAGTGAGCAAGCTCACATACCCCACGCTCCCCCAAAACTCAAAGTGCTGAAAATCCCGAAAAAAAGTGAAAGAATCGGAATTTCCCAGTAATATGCATATCTACACATTGTGCCCTAGATATCTGCAAAGTTTGATGAAATTCTGTGAAGCGGTTTATGAGGAGTTGCGCTGACAAACTGTTCATCACTATATTCAAGATATCCCCAAATATCTAAGTTGTAAAGTGCCGAAATTCCCAGAAAAATAAAGGATTCGGAATTTCCTGGTAAAATGCACATCTATACATTGTGTCCTAAATATCTGCCGAGTCTGATGAAATTCTGTGCAGCGGTTTATGAGGAGTCGCACTGACAAAATGTTCATCTGTATATTCAAGGTATGGCCAAAAATCTAATTTGAAAAGTGCCAAAATTCCCCAAAAAATAAAGGATTCGGAATTTCCTGGTTATATGCACATCTACACACTGTGTCCTAAATATCTCCAAAGTTTGACGAAATTCTGTGCTGCGGTTTATGATGAGTTGCGCTGACAAAATACCTGCAAAGTTTGACGAAATTCTGTGCAGCGGTTTATGAGGAGTTGCGCTGACAAAATGTTCATCTGTATATTCAAGGTATGGCCAAATGCCTAAGTTGAAATGTGCGGAAATTCCCGGGAAAAATAATGGAATCGGAATTTCCTGGTAATATGCACATCTACACATTGTGTCCTGAATATCTGCAAAGTTTGACGAAATTCTGTGCAGCGGTTTATGAGGAGTTGCGCTGACAAACTGTACATGGTAAGGCCAAATGCCTAAGTTAAAAAGTGCGGAAATTCCCGGAAAAAATAATGGAATCGGAATTTCCTGGTAATATGCACATCTACACATTGTGTCCTAAATACCTGCAAAGTTTGACGAAATTCTGTGCAGCGGTTTATGAGGAGTTGCGCTGACAAACTGTTCATCTCTATATTCAAGGTTTGGCCAAATGCCTAAGTTAAAAAGTGCGGAAATTCTCGGAAAAAATAATGGAATCGGAATTTCCTGGTAATATGCACATCTACACATTGTGTCCTGAATATCTGCAAAGTTTGACGAAATTCTGTGCAGCGGTTTATGAGGAGTTGCGCTGACAAACTGTACATGGTAAGGCCAAATGCCTAAGTTAAAAAGTGCGGAAATTCCCGAAAAAAATAATGGAATCGGAATTTCCTGGTAATATGCACATCTACACATTGTGTCCTAAATACCTGCAAAGTTTGACGAAATTCTGTGCAGCGGTTTATGAGGAGTTGCGCTGACAAACTGTTCATCTCTATATTCAAGGTTTGGCCAAATGCCTAAGTTAAAAAGTGTGGAAATTCCCGGAAAAAATAATGGAATCGGAATTTCCTGGTAATATGCACATCTACACATTGTGTCCTGAATATCTGCAAAGTTTGACGAAATTCTGTGCAGCGGTTTATGAGGAGTTGCGCTGACAAACTGTACATGGTAAGGCCAAATGCCTAAGTTAAAAAGTGCGGAAATTCCCGGAAAAAATAATGGAATCGGAATTTCCTGGTAATATGCACATCTACACATTGTGTCCTAAATACCTGCAAAGTTTGACGAAATTCTGTGCAGCGGTTTATGAGGAGTTGCGCTGACAAACTGTTCATCTCTATATTCAAGGTTTGGCCAAATGCCTAAGTTAAAAAGTGCGGAAATTCCCGGAAAAAATAATGGAATCGGAATTTCCTGGTAATATGCACATCTACACATTGTGTCCTAAATACCTGCAAAGTTTGACGAAATTCTGTGCAGCGGTTTATGAGGAGTTGTGCTGACATAAAAAAAAAGGACTGACTGACACTCTGACGGACTTGTATATATACGCAACTAGTTGAGAGGGTATAAAAATAAATCTTTTCCATCCATATTGAGAGCGAGGTTATTTTGCTCGCATGTTTAATGCATCCATATGAGTGAAAAATTCATATTTGTTTGTTTGTGTGCTGTTTAACGTCACTCTCCAGAACTTTTCACTCATATGGAGACGATACTACTTGCTGGTGGAGAGCTGCAACTTTTGTCCTATATACTCGGTACTTGTGGCCATTGTGAGGGATCTTTTTTCGTGCCAGCACCTACTGCGACATTGGACCTCGGATTATACGGTATCCCGAAGGACCGGTCTCCGTATCCCACATTTCGAACAAGCGACGTACAATGTAAGGATTAACTCCTTACTCCGTTACTCTAACCACTGGGTAACCGGGCGATTTGTGAGGTGACTCATTTGGAATTCAGGAAATAGACATTTCTTTGCCTTATAAACCATCTTTGAGTTTATATACGAGTAAACATGAAATTCATATAGAAAAATATAATTAAATCTATTTAAAAATATTATCAATGAAAGAAAAGTGTTGTTTTGGCCATTATGCGAAATTAAATTCACAATTTATACTGAAAATATAATTATTTATATCTGGTTTTGAAAATAACAAAATAATTCTAGGAAGTGTCATTTGATAAGAGAGAGAAAAACACAAGTAATGCGACGAACGATTCAAAGATTCAGTGACATTGAGCAAATTTAGATAAACGGTAATTTTTACAACTAATATTCTTAATGTACATCAAGATGTACTTACCATATCCCTGAACTAAAAGTAAAACCAAATAAGTAAAAGAAAAGAAATACGTTGTCCACATGTTATTAATTTAAGTACATTGTTCTCTGATTTAAATTAACCTAGCTGTTTAACAATATTACGCCCTATCCGGAATGGAACAATTACACAACGTTAAAGAATAAAGGGTGTCGTGACAATCTGTATCTACACTATGCCAAAGATCGTAGACAATGAAATGCACTACCTCAATTCATGGTCACTTGATGCGATAAATATCTTGATTAGAACCAAGTTAGAGGATTAAGGTTCAATTTTTAAAGGATTTAAATATGAAATTTATTTACAATGCAACATAGAAATCAAGGATGAGTTTGGAATAGCAGAATTTCCGAAAGACAAAAAATAATGCAAAAACAGAAAATATTTCAATTTACCTCCGTGTTTCAACTGTTTTTTAATTTCAATTTAACCCTAAGTTTACACTCTATTTTTTTTTTACATTGGGAAATATATTTGCAGTTAGTTCTATTTACAGTGTAAAATGTTTACTCTACTTTTTGCTGACTCAAGAACAAATAAAGGAATTTTGGATGCTAGGTCTAATTATGAGCTTTCAAAAAGTGTTTTAAGACTCATCATTACACTATTTCATCTGTTCGGGATAATTTTCTCATTTTATATTATAAGTACATTGGTTCAAAACCAAAACAAAAACGTCATAAAGGGAACTTTAATTAGAGATAGCACTGATTTGACAAAACATTGCTATCTGTATCGATCGGTCTGTGACGATTAAATGCCCTACATCAATTCGTGATCAGTTGAGGTTATAAACAATTTAAATAAAGTGATTTGTTATTGACTAACATTGTTTAGAACAAACATATCTACATATATAATAATAATGAATCAGAAAATAAAATAATTTGGTAAATCATGTCATCTAGAAGGGAAAAAAAGAAGCTAGCCTGGTTCTCTGTCCTTGTTTTTGTTTCGTGTACTACGCGCCCCTAGGTAAGGATGATCCGGCTGCAGGGGACCGCTAGGAAAAAGACCTGGCACAATTAAGACAAGTTTAGCTGTTAAAAAAAAGCTTCGAGAGTCAGCCAGAGGATTTTCTTCTCTGTGATAATGTTTTTAAAAAATAATAATAGGGCACTCACTGAAAAAATCCTTTCAACATAATTTTTAAGCAGATTTGGCTACTTTAAAATCCTCGTCTTAACAGTTTTCCGCATAGGAACAAAAGCGTTGGTGCATGTAGATTCTATTGCATTTTTGTCTCTTAATCAAAAGAACACATAGTACAATAATAATTTAAGTTTAAATTCACAAAACATAATTCTATTAAGTTATAAACCAAACTCATTATCTGATTTATAGGATTTTTGGAAGGGGGGAGGCATGAACATTGTAGTAGCTTTAACAATTCCAAACGGGGCCTCGTGAGCTTCACAATCACCCTGTTAGAGTATTATGGTCCTGTTTCAGGTTGAATCACTCAGTGCTACCATGTTTAGACTATGAAGACACCTTTGTCCTT